ATGTTGAAGATAAATCCTATCTCTTTATGTGGTTGTTTTTGGTTCCCTTAGCAGTTTACATTCTGTGGCAGGTTCTATACTTCCTCATTGTCAATGTCTTGCGCAGACAACGGTTTTTAAGAGATCCTGAAGTCATGACTTCCTACAGGTAATCAAAGAACACTGCTAAACTTTTCACTTCATTTTGGAGGGGTGTGTTCTTGAGTGGTGGTGGAAAGTTCTCTGAAATTTCTCATTTTGTTGTCTTAACTGTTTCACAGGGAACTCTCCAAAAAGGCTCAGAAAGCAAACAATATGTGGTGGCGCTTAAGTGGCCTACTAGGGGATCAAAATCGCTTGTTGATGTACATCATTCTTCAAGGCATATTCACTGTTGCAACCACAGCACTAACTGTTCCCATATTCTTGTCCTATGAACTGTCTGTGGTTTTCCAAATACTGAAGATTTCTGCTTCAGTGTGGAATGGGGGAAGCTTCCTGATAGATGTAATGCCTAGGCAGGTAATTCTCAAGGAGAAAAAGAAAACAGAAATGCAACATGTTCCAAATCAAAATCATTAGTGATTAGAAAATTGTAGGTAGTTCAACAATTCTTCATGATATTATATATATATATATATATATATATATCCATTTAGTCACACCTTATTACTCCTGCTGTGTATATTACAAGAAAACCTCAGTGTAACCGATCTACGGTTCTCAAAATGTAGAAGTGGAATATACCAATGCGCATTCCATGTGTGCCTTTGTTCTGATGGGCACTTTGTAGAACAGTCTTGAAAAGTATAATTTCTGTGTTCCTTCCAGAGACTGACGAATTTTAGTACACATGTCCTTAGTACTTCCTTTAATGTCCTTACCACAATTTTGTGTCTGTCACATTCAAAAGCTGCTAAAAATCAACAATGGAATGATCAAATCCATTATGAAAATCTCATCAAGGTGGGCAGGATCAAAAGCCTTTAATTCTGGAGGGCAAAATTAAGCTGCAAATTTCATAGAACATGGTGTATTTGAAGATATAGTTGAAATTTGAATTAATAAATGTATGCATTAATGAAACTCAAATGAAATAGCATGTGTACACTTGTGTATTTGGATTAGTTGGCTGAATAGTTGAACATTTATGAGAGAATATGTGAGTGAACACTTTAGGGACGAAGAAAGGGACACCTTTATTAATTCAGAGATTTGTTTAAGATGTTAACAAATACTCAGCCAGTGAACTTACTGCAATTAATACATATTACTAGCGTAGATAAAACACATATCTGTGAATGATGAATGAAATACTAATTTAGGTATTACTGAACATTGTTTTCTTTCTTTAAGATAACCCAAAAAATTGTATAGACAAAACTCATACCTCTGAAAACGTTGCATTTCCAATGAATTGCGAAATATGTTAATATATAGTGAAATATGAAAGTACCCAAAAACTACTTTTCTTTCTTTGTAGTGAAATTTAAACATAACTAATTATTACAAAAGCAATTTACAAAACAAATTCATAAGATAAAGTTTTTATTTACTTATATTTTATAATTTAATTATATTTGTGATTGATGTTAGACATGTTTTTTATATTTAATTTTACAAAATTAACTTAATATAATAAATTTTGTACTTAATTACTATCATTTAACTTTATTTCTTAATTCATTTCACAAAACATTTTATTTTAGTAGGAAGAGATTTACACTAACCTATATTTATAGTTATATATCTTTAATCTATGTGAGATATTTAAAATACTTTAAATCCACAACAATAAATAAGATATAAAAATATAGTGAACAGATAATTGTATTATAATTATTAGATTTTTGTGTATTTGAGAAATAATCAGGTAAATTAAGTGCTTCGGATATAATAATTAAGTAACTTTGTTCCTTTTATTACGTAATTTGTTGACACAGTCATAGACGACAAGTTAATTTTTTAATCATTTAAACAAGAGGATTGTTCTTACTTTTTTTAAAAAAAAAATAAACATGCTTTTTTAAAAAGAATGAGAAAAGTTTATATATCATCCTGGGAATAAATTTGGTTAATTATTTAACAATAAAAAGGAGTGGCTTGGGGTTTTGCTTGCATGGATGAGGACAGAGATGGCTGGTGTGCCCAAAAGAAGGAAGGAAAGGAAAGATTCTTAAGGGAACTGAAAGTGCTTCTCTTTAGCCCTGAAAGCTAAGCATATACTTCAAAATTTATGCTTTATCCACGTCGTTAGAAAATGGATTTTAGGCTAATTCAATGATCTTTATAGAACTTCTACTACATCACAAGAAGAAAGTCAAAAGTCAGCAACGAAAATGTTGAAGAAACACAATCACATTTACTAGTGGTAGTGAACAATCAGAATGATGTTGCACTGGAGAAATTGGTTGGTTGAAAAACTACTAGAAGCTCCAATAGGACATCAAAAACAGAATCAGAGCCCTAGTTAAGTAGTGCTATACAAATATGTTAAAAAAAATGACATGAATCACTGAAAGCATGTGAGGGAAATAAAACAAACTCAAACCCATACCCAAGATGCTCAAGCATTCATCAGTAGCAGGCTCTAATACCTGAACTAAAAAAATACCATAATTAGAGCCATGTTTTTTTTTTTTNAATATATTAAATAAAACTTCAGTGATATTGTTTGCACTATATCATCAGTAAAAAAAGTGGTGTAGGTTAGTATTTTGTTTGTTTGCTTCTTTGTTTCAAACTGTGTACTTGAAAATGGTATTAAATAATTTAATATATGAAATGATTTTCATAAATTATTTGTTTGGTTGAGTTTGTTGATTTTTAAGGAAATTGAATGGATAGATGATAAAAAGAAAAAACAGTTAAAAATATAATCAAGTTAGTATATGACATATATGATAAAGTGTTTGGAAATAACATGTATCATGACTTACGTCACAATAAATTGTACTTGTTATTATTAGTTATTGTTATTAGTAATGAAAAGTACGTCATAATAAATTTCATATATTATGTCAGGAGATAAAGTATATTATAATATACTTTATTATTATGACATATTTATCTACTTTGTCATAAAAAATGCAAAACTTTTATAAACTGTAACGTTAAAACACATGTGTTTTTCTACTAAGTAGTAAACTTTATTAATTAGTTGTATGAGTAAATTTAAAGCATATAAAAGAATAAAAGAATCATTCATGATTATAAAATTAGCATTAAGTAGTACTCAAAATATCCATTTATTACGGCATTAAAAAAAATTAGGTGTTACTGTGTATTGAAATTAAATTTTCATCTTAATAACTCACAAACAACTTTTCGTATCCATTTTTAAATAATGTCATTAAAACATTTTTTAATATATTTATTTGTTATATGTAACTAAGAACACTTCTGGAAACCTCCAGGAATCTGTGAAGTGGCATCAACCTTAATAAATTTGTCTTTCGTGGCTTTCTCACATCAACATCACGTGTCCTTCTCTTTCATGATGCTTGATGAACCTTCTTACGATTTTTAATATTCTCTTACATTTGGATTATTATCTTCAAAAACACCTTTCAACATTACTGTTCCTAATATTCTGACTTAGAATTGGGCTTAGGTGTAGGTTGGGTTACCTAAATTAGATCAATTTCTTTAATCATTAATATATTTAAACATTTTAATTGATTTTTTATTTAAAATTTAGTTTGATTGATTTTTTAAAAGTTTTACTTTTATTAAATGAGATATTTAAGTTTTAAGTTTTCTTAAAATTTGTAATATTTTTAATTAAGTGTATTGAATATTTTCATTTATTAAATATCTAAAATTTTTATATTAAGTTTATCTTGTTACTTATCAAATAAAGTGATCCAAATGACATTTGTTACACATTGTTTGTGTCAATATTATTTGATTTTTGGATTATTGTTTAATTTTGAAAAACGAATTAGTATACTTTTTTAATAAAAATAACATAAATATAGGTGTTATTGTGTATGTATCTGTGTTTTTTAAATATTTATATTATATTATAAGTTAATAATATATATAAATTGATTTAGTTAATATATAAAATAATAAGAAGTAATTTAGTATTAACAGTAAAAACTATAAATATAGTAAAAAAAAAAAGAAACTATTTCAAAATAGTTTTACTTTTAAAAATAGATAATAATTATATTTTAAAAAAATATTATATTATAAAAGGTAAAATAGAAAAGAAAATTTGTGTATACAAAAATAAATATCACTATTATATACAGATATAGATGAGGAAGATTTTATTTGTTTTTATCTTGTCTAAATTTGTGATATTATATTTTGAATTTGTAAAATTAAATGGTTAAGCCACTCTAATTAATGATAAAAATATAATTACAAGATATAAATATTTTAGATATTTTATAGATAAAATCTTTTAATATAGATTTAATAAAATATATCTAAATTTTTATGAAAAATTTAAAACTAAATAGGAGGAAATAATAAAACTTAATTAAAATTATAAAAATATTGATTTTAAATAAAATAAATAATTTATTTAAAACTTAATCAAAAGTTAAAATTTAATTAGGTCTAAATTTTTTTCTCAATTCACATGCTATTCATCTTATACAGTCCTTAGTTCTTTAAATGGGGATTGAATTGAAAAATTTATTAGGTTTCACGTATTTAATTTTTATTTTAAAATGATTTTATGAAATAAAACTTAAAGTAGAACAAGTTGTCAAAGGGTGCATATGTTATAATTGTTAGCATTAATATGTTAAATTTACAAACAATTTTAATTTTGTCGAATGCTTATATCGTGTTAACCAATTACAAATGATCTGTAATCTAGAATTTTAAAACAATTATTATACAAATTATTAATTTTTCAATGATATAAAATTTAAAATTATATAAAAGAAAATAGTTTTAATAGTGTCGGACCATTCAATTAAAGTTACACTTCTGGTTTATCAGCTAATACGCTTTCTTTGCTTTCAAATTTTCTTTATGAATCAAAGTATTGTACATGTACACGTGTGGTGTATGTGTATGTATTTATATATAGATGGATAGCAGAACAAAGAGGGCATATTTCTGTTTCTGCATACACCGCCATCTTTCTTTGTCTGAATCAATTCAAACACATATGGCTGTGTCTGATAACGAAGATCTTGCATCAGACTACACAGACAGCGAACCCTCTAAAAGGACAAGGCGTAGGTTCAGGGATAGGTCCAAGGTACGTTGTTACCTTAAATCCGTGTTTTTTTTTCTCTTTTTGTTATAAAACTTAGATGCATGTTCTTTTGGTATTGTTGGTGAATTTGATTTTATAGCTGACAGAAGAATAATATACAAAAACTTCATTTAAATGGCGTGACAAGTTGTGTGCTTTTCGTTTTTTCAATTTGATTTCTATGTATGGCTGTATCTGTTTTTTAATTTTATGATATGGGTTTGTTTTGTTTTGGCTGAAACTTAAGGAGGTCTTGTCCAAACAAGCTGTGAAGATAGTCAAACAAGCTGAAGAGCATGAAAGGTTCATTAACAAGGTGGGTTTGTTTCGCTTAATTTCTGATTCGTGTTTTTCAGCTATGGATTTCTTTTTCATCATTTAAGGCCATTTGGGTATGTTAATATTGAACAAGCTTTGAGTTTTTTATTTATTTCTGTGAATGTTCAGGTGACTCATCTTTTGGGGGTTCTTGGCTTCGGTGGGTTTTGCTTCCTCTTCGGGGCAAGTAAGTTGATTCTGATAGAACAGTGTATTGGTTTTTCTTTCTCTCTTTCTCTTTTGAGAAGATTCAATGCCTTCTTTATTGGTTTTCATATTTGATTACTCTCTTTTTTTACCAGAGCCACAAGCTGTTCCCTTGGTATATTGTTTGTTCTATGTCGTGTTTGTTCCTCTCCGTTGGATATATTACAGGTTCAAGAAATGGCATTACTACCTCCTGGTAAATGATGATAGACTCTATTTCAATACCTTTACTGGTTAAAATAATTGGAACAATGTCTTTTTGTTCTCATTATTATGAGGATACAAGTATTAGTTTCATGTGTTAAGTAGTAGAAAACTATATATGAAAGCAAAGCAATTAAGTGATCGTTCATATGTTTCAGGATTTTTGCTATTATGCCAATACAATCTTCTTGATTTACCTCCTTTTTTATCCAAGGAATGAAAAGCTTTTCATGGTTTGCTTTTCATTCGCTGAGGTAAGCATGTTCCCCCTTGATAATTTGATATCTTGGTAGAAAAATGGTTCATTTGTCATCTTTATGACTTAATGACTTATTCAAGAACTGTCGCAGGGACCATTAGCGTGGGCTTTGATTGTTTGGCGCTGCAGTTTGGTTTTCAGTTCTTTTGACAAAATTGTCAGTGTTCTTATCCATCTTCTACCTGGTAATGTTATAACTTTAATTTTTTAATCACTCCTCTTTTTTAAACAATAAAAAAATGTTTTCGATGGTCAAATATTGGGAATGACTGCAAAAAAGGGTCTGTATGTGTTATTGCATAGCGTGCACTAAGTAAATTTATATGGAACATTTTGATAAAGCGTATTTTACAGGCTTTGCGTTCAAATTCTATTATCTTCATGATTTCTCCATTCAATTTGAAAGGATTCTAGAATAGTATTGTGCATTGTGGTTGGTTTAACTTAAGTACTAGTTTTTCTGCACCTAGATAGATCCTTGTAGATGCATATTCAAACATCAATGTTCAATAGCTTCATGCAAGACATGGAAATGCCAGAAACTTTAATTGTAAAGGTGGATAATTTTGTAGAATATTTAATATTCTATTTGTACAGAACTCAATTCATGATTAAATTCTGTAAGGAAATTTAAAAAGCGGCTATAATAGTCAGAATGTATCCTTATCAAGGAATTTGGATTAGTTCATATGAAGGATTTCTTGATCCTTGCTTGAATTATGTGATATCTGCCAGATATAAAACCATTTGAGTCTTCTTCATCTAAGAATATGCCCCTAAATAAATCTGTATATTCAATTAATATATTTTATCCTGAATATTATCAAAATGTTATTTTAATACTTGTTTATCCATGTTGAACTTGAATTTCTGAATAGACATCAACATTAGAGCTGCTACAGTTGGAATGAACTTGTGACAGAGTGCTCAACTTCATGTCTCTTACTCTGCTTCCATTTTGGTTTTGATTTGTTATAGCCGTGTGAAATATTATGCTTTTAATGCAATAGTTTTCTTTTCTTTTCAGGATTAGTTTTCTTTTCTATTCGATGGTGGAATCCTGCAACCTTTGAAGCCATGCGACCAGAGGGAACTGCTGCAAGGGCTACATGGCCCTATGTTGAAGATAAATCCTATCTCTTTATGTGGTTGTTTTTGGTTCCCTTAGCAGTTTACATTCTGTGGCAGGTTCTATACTTCCTCATTGTCAATGTCTTGCGCAGACAACGGTTTTTAAGAGATCCTGAAGTCATGACTTCCTACAGGTAATCAAAGAACACTGCTAAACTTTTCACTTCATTTTGGAGGGGTGTGTTCTTGAGTGGTGGTGGAAAGTTCTCTGAAATTTCTCATTTTGTTGTCTTAACTGTTTCACAGGGAACTCTCCAAAAAGGCTCAGAAAGCAAACAATATGTGGTGGCGCTTAAGTGGCCTACTAGGGGATCAAAATCGCTTGTTGATGTACATCATTCTTCAAGGCATATTCACTGTTGCAACCACAGCACTAACTGTTCCCATATTCTTGTCCTATGAACTGTCTGTGGTTTTCCAAATACTGAAGATTTCTGCTTCAGTGTGGAATGGGGGAAGCTTCCTGATAGATGTAATGCCTAGGCAGGTAATTCTCAAGGAGAAAAAGAAAACAGAAATGCAACATGTTCCAAATCAAAATCATTAGTGATTAGAAAATTGTAGGTAGTTCAACAATTCTTCATGATATTATATATATATATATATATATATATATATATCCATTTAGTCACACCTTATTACTCCTGCTGTGTATATTACAAGAAAACCTCAGTGTAACCGATCTACGGTTCTCAAAATGTAGAAGTGGAATATACCAATGCGCATTCCATGTGTGCCTTTGTTCTGATGGGCACTTTGTAGAACAGTCTTGAAAAGTATAATTTCTGTGTTCCTTCCAGAGACTGACGAATTTTAGTACACATGTCCTTAGTACTTCCTTTAATGTCCCTACCACAATTTTGTGTCTGTCACATTCAAAAGCTGCTAAAAATCAACAATGGAATGATCAAATCCATTATGAAAATCTCATCAAGGTGGGCAGGATCAAAAGCCTTTAATTCTGGAGGGCAAAATTAAGCTGCAAATTTCATAGAACATGGTGTATTTGAAGATATAGTTGAAATTTGAATTAATAAATGTATGCATTAATGAAACTCAAATGAAATAGCATGTGTACACTTGTGTATTTGGATTAGTTGGCTGAATAGTTGAACATTTATGAGAGAATATGTGAGTGAACACTTTAGGGACGAAGAAAGGGACACCTATATTAATTCAGAGATTTGTTTAAGATGTTAACAAATACTCAGCCAGTGAACTTACTGCAATTAATACATATTACTAGCGTAGATAAAACACATATCTGTGAATGATGAATGAAATACTAATTTAGGTATTACTGAACATTGTTTTCTTTCTTTAAGATAACCCAAAAAATTGTATAGACAAAACTCATACCTCTGAAAACGTTGCATTTCCAATGAATTGCGAAATATGTTAATATATAGTGAAATATGAAAGTACCCAAAAACTACTTTTCTTTCTTTGTAGTGAAATTTAAACATAACTAAATATTACAAAAGCAATTTACAAAACAAATTCATAAGATAAAGTTTTTATTTACTTATATTTTATAATTTAATTATATTTGTGATTGATGTTAGACATGTTTTTTATATTTAATTTTACAAAATTAACTTAATATAATAAACTTTGTACTTAATTACTATCATTTAACTATATTTCTTAATTCATTTCACAAAACATTGTATTTTAGTAGGAAGAGATTTACACTAACCTATATTTATAGTTATATATCTTTAACCTATGTGAGATATTTAAAATACTTTAAATCCACAACAATAAATAAGATATAAAAATATAGTGAACAGATAATTGTATTATAATTATTAGATTTTTGTGTATTTGAGAAATAATCAGGTAAATTAAGTGCTTCGGATATAATAATTAAGTAACTTTGTTCCTTTTATTACGTAATTTGTTGACACAGTCATAGACGACAAGTTAATTTTTTAATCATTTAAACAAGAGGATTGTTCTTACTTTTTTTAAAAAAAAAATAAACATGCTTTTTTAAAAAGAATGAGAAAAGTTTATATATCATCCTGGGAATAAATTTGGTTAATTATTTAACAATAAAAAGGAGTGGCTTGGGGTTTTGCTTGCATGGATGAGGACAGAGATGGCTGGTGTGCCCAAAAGAAGGAAGGAAAGGAAAGATTCTTAAGGGAACTGAAAGTGCTTCTCTTTAGCCCTGAAAGCTAAGCATATACTTCAAAATTTATGCTTTATCCACGTCGTTAGAAAATGGATTTTAGGCTAATTCAATGATCTTTATAGAACTTCTACTACATCACAAGAAGAAAGTCAAAAGTCAGCAACGAAAATGTTGAAGAAACACAATCACATTTACTAGTGGTAGTGAACAATCAGAATGATGTTGCACTGGAGAAATTGGTTGGTTGAAAAACTACTAGAAGCTCCAATAGGACATCAAAAACAGAATCAGAGCCCTAGTTAAGTAGTGCTATACAAATATGTTAAAAAAAATGACATGAATCACTGAAAGCATGTGAGGGAAATAAAACAAACTCAAACCCATACCCAAGATGCTCAAGCATTCATCAGTAGCAGGCTCTAATACCTGAACTAAAAAAATACCATAATTAGAGCCATGTTTTTTTTTTTTGTTTTCTTCACTCATTCGTTTTCTACAACCTACGAGGCAACGAGACATTGCTTTTCTCCTTCAAGGAGTTCAGTTTTTCGAGCTTCCACTCTCCCCTGCGCTTAGCGATGAAAGATTCGGCTTTAATGTTCACATCGGGGCTGGGACAGAAAACGCCGTTACCATCCGTAACGCTCTCACTCACTGTACTTTCCGATACATTCATTATAATCTCCTCCCTTTCTGGAGAGCTACACCGCGAGCTCTGGTTGCTGCGTATCCTGACGAAATCTCCACGGACCACGAACTTCATCGCCTTCATCTTGAACGGCGGAGGCGGTGGCGGAACGGGAATCAGCGGCGACTGGTTGCCGATGTTAGCTGACTCGTGAATCTCGTCGTGGAAATTGACGCTTCTGCTCGGCAGCGGTGGTCGCCCCGTGTTTCGACGGCGTGGAGGAGACGCAGGAGACGGAGGAGACGGAGGAGGGTTGTGGCTCTTGCGCTTGGACCACCGCTTCGACGGCGGAGGAGGTGGCGGGGGTGGTGGCGGTGACACTGAGTGGATTTTCTTGCTCTTGCCTAGTCCTTTTCGGAATAGACTGTGGAACATTGAAGTTGGTGGCGGAGGAGGTGGTGGAGGTGGCGGCGTTGGTGGTGGCACTGTCGTGCTGTTCGCTAATTCGTCGGCATTATCTTCGTAGTAATGTTGATCGTGGTTATTTTTTGCTCTTTGCTTCTTCTTTTTCTTTCGCTGGTTGGAGAGAACTGAAGCCCAAACCATCGCTATCTCTCTCTTCACATTGCTCTTCTTTCGCTCGCTCTTACGCTCCGATCGCAACTTCGCCGACGGAGGAGGCGGTGTCGGAGGAGCCGGAGGTGGAGAGCGGATCGTCGTGAACTCGCGCTCGTCGAGCTCGACGGTTATCTCACTGACTCTCTCTGTTTTCCGATGCGACCGTCGTGCATTGCGACGGGCCGATTCCGGCTGAGGAGGAGGCGGCGGCGGCGGTGGTGGAGGAGTTGGCGTAATTGATTTCACCGGCGGTGATGAAGGACGAGTTTCGAAGGTATCAACCGGAATTTCCTTTTCTTCATCGTCTTGTTGTTGATGGTGTTGATGCTGATGTTGTGGTTGTGGTTGTGGTTGTGGTGACAGTGATGGTGGTGATTCCGGCAATCGTTTGCGGTGGTCGAAGGCGGGGAAATGGTCCCTAGCCGGCGTGCGGAACTGCTTGTCGATTTCAAAGTCATCAGAGAAGCGGAACTTGTTCCGCTCATCGCCGGTTTCCCACTGGCGCAGATCTGGATAAGAGCTGCTGTTTCTTCTCATCCTCAACGGTGTATCACCGGTTGCAGGTGACTGAAACCGGTTGAGAGGGGTATCATTAATATACTCCTTTCTTTCCCCTGTGAACCCAAGCCACTGAGATTGTCCTTCTGAAGGGACTCGTCGAAACGCAGCATTTCGATCCGGAACGGCGTCGTGGTGGTTATTTCTTGGGGTCTGTTCATCGTCGTTTCGTCTGGCAAAGACGCCGCACAGGATTGCGAAAACGACGATGAGGATGTTGAGGGAGTCCCAGCTGGTCTTGACGGAGGCAGGGCGTATGAGGCGCGTGGCGGCGGAGAGGAGCGGCGGCAGAGCGAGGAAGAGGATGGTGAGTATGACGATGGGGAAGAGAATGATTATGAGTGGAGGGCTAAGTAAGGGTGGCGATGAGTGCCAGGAGCGACGGTGGGGCATGGTGGTTGGTGGTGGTGATGAGGGTGGGAGA